CCAGTGAGGTGTTTCCCCATCTTAAAAAGATTTCCATTTAGGAAACTATGCCCGGTTCTTACTCTATTTATAATTATCTCCTCCCTCCTGTTTATTCCTCTGAGCCTTTCTACATTGACTGTATTTTGAATCCTAAATAAATGTCTTCCCTTTATTTCATTTTCCCACCCAACTTCCCATATCTTCTTGCTTTCTTTCCAGATTATACTTTTGCCTTCAGATTTAGATAATTTTATTTGCATATCAATATCATCTTTTTTGATCTCCTCCTTAGCCAGCCTGTCTGCTCTTTCATTCCCCACAATACCTACATGAGCAGGAGTCCTGAATAATACAACTTTTTTATTTTGTTCACAAAACCCAATATGAACCGCCATAATATCATATAAAATATTTTGATGATTTTTTGTACGTCCCTTTCCAATACTCATCAACGCAGATAGAGAGTCACTACAAACTATTATTTTATTCCTATTTGTTTCCTCCACCCATTCTAAAGCTACCAAAATAGCACATAATTCTACTGCGAATACACTCAAATAATCAGATGTTCTTTTTGAAATACTAATCTTTAAATCAGGAATCACTATAGCTATACTGGTTGCTTCACTTTTGGGTTCTTTCGACCCATCAGTATAAATTTGCAAGTAGTCATTATATTTATTCTGCATTTGATTATAAAATTCTTGGCAAATGTCTATCATGTTCCTTTTCTTAATATGTGTCAGTGTTCTGTCTACGTTAATGTATTGCCAAGTCCATGTAGGTCTCAAAGGCCACAATACAGTTGGACTAAATTCCTTATTATATACATTAAAAATTTTCGCTCTATCATCACCAACCCACCCAAAACTATCGATTTGTTTCTTTCCTCTTTCCCAACACTTTTCTAAWACTTTCTTAACCGGGTGATCTGCATTATGTCCTTTTAAACTTATCCAATAATTGACCATTAGCTGCTGTCTTCTAATGCATAATGGCATTTCTCCTGACTCTACTTGTAAAGCACATATTGGTGTTGATCTGACTGCCCCTAAACAAATTCTCATTGCTCTGGCTTGAATAACATCTAACTTTTTTAACCTAGTTTTGGCTGCTGATCCATACACCACACACCCGTAATCTATTCTTGACCTAATTAGTGATACATATATATTTTTTAGGGAATCAAAACTTGCACCCCATGTCAATCCTGCTAAACACCTCATAATGTTTAAAACCTTTTTACTTTTCTCTATAATATGTTCTATGTGATTTCCCCAAGTTAGTTTCTTATCAAAAACTACACCCAAAAACCGAAACCAATCAACCCTTTCTAACTCTTTCCCATATAAATACAACTTTTTATCAACCCCTATTTTTTTATTTGTGAAGAACATTACTTTTGTCTTTTCAATTGAAAATTTAAAGCCCCACTCTATCCCCCACTTACTCACTTTATCTATACCTTCCTGAAGTTTAACAATAAGATGTTCCACATTTCTTCCCCTTTTCCATAATGCTCCGTCATCAGCAAAAAGTGACTTACCAAAACTGATAGATARTTCTTTAAAGATGTCATTTATCATAACTGAAAATAATGTTGGACTTACCACACTTCCTTGAGGGGTTCCATTTTCTATTTTACATAACTTCGAAACATGACATCCTATTTTAACTTGAATATTTCTATCCCGTAAAAAATCCCATATCCAATTAAACATATTACCTCCTATACCTATCTGGTGTAATTTAATCATTAACCCTTCCCTCCATAACATATCATATGCTTTTTCCACATCAAAAAACACAGCAACAACAGTTTCCTTATTGACCTGAGCTTTCCTAATGTCATCCTCTAAACATAAAATAGGATCTATTGTTCCTCTCCCTCTACGGAATCCACTCTGATAAGAAGCAATTAAGTGTTTTGACTCCAAATATTGTGTCAATCTCTCATTCACCATCCTTTCCATCAGTTTACACAAATTAGATGTTAAAGCTATAGGTCTATAATTTCCAGGGTTACTATGGTCTTTCCCAGGTTTCTTCAATGGAATAACAATTGCTTCTTAGTGATACCCCCTGTTAACAATAAGTGTTAATTAGTTGTCAACGATAGCCATGTGATGTGAGTATCAGTCACATGGAGGCTGGGCTTAAAAGCCTGAATTTTGCTTGAAACTCTCAGACTGAAGAAGTCTCTTGGAGACGAGACAAAACGTTTCATTAGAGAAGAACCCGTCCAGAAGACCTATACAATTTTTTTTCTTTTGATTTTTTACCTGGATTACTGAGATGCATCAGGACATCGTTAAGTACAGAAATAATAAAAACATAAAACAAACCAATGAAAAGCAAAATTTCTGACTTTCTTTGATTTTAAAATGTAAGTGAATGTTTTTGTTCTGTGCACTGGGATGACTTTTCTTGTGAACTGGTGACATTTAAATAAAGAAAAAAAATGGTTTAACTTTTAAATGTAAGCTATTGGAAGCCATAGATGACATCACACCATAAATGATCTTACACATCAATAATAATATTTTATATTTTTTAATCTATAATAAACAGTTTAACTAATGTGAAACACTAATAATCTCAAGGCACCGTATATTCGTATATTTTTCAACAGACTACTGGTTTTGATGAAAGTAAATGTGCAGTTCTCCACATGGGCTGCAGTCTGCGAGGTTATACTGACCCTTAGTGGCAAAGTGCAGTACTACATCACTATTTAAGACTTTAAATTTTAGAAACGTTTAAGTAAAAAAAAAAAAGCAGTTTTACAACAGAACAGACAAAAACATGTCAATATTTGCTCCAAATATTAAATCAAAAGAAATAAATTCTTACTTTTAATTTAACTTTTGCTTTTTTTTTGTGGGTTAAAATATTTCTGTATTTTTGATTTCTGCTGTTTACCATCTTTTTGTTTATGATTGTACTCATTGTTCTTAGTATTAGAGGTTAGACAAATATAAAGCAACGCTCCTTTTATTTTATTTACAACTCATTATAAAGAGGTTCTGGTTTTCACTTCACTTTGCAGATTACTTTAAACCAGAGGTGTCCGATCCTGGTGCCCATGTTTTAGAGGTCCACCTGATTTGGCTAAATGGGTGATTGACAGGCTTCTGCAGAACATGAAGAGGTAATTTAATCTTTGAATTAGGTGTGATGGAAGGAGAAAAAAAGTCAAACATGCAGGATAGTGACCCTTGAGAACTAAGAAAAGACAACTTTTAAACACGTTTGTGGCAGAAATAAATCACAAATGTTTTTTCTTTTGATTTTTTTACCTTGTTTTATTAAATTGTGTTTTGTTCACTAATGGCTTTTATAAAACAACTTCTTCCTCTCTTTCCATCTTTTATTTATTTGGGCTGCTCAGTTCAAGAGAAGCACATTTAAACATTTTTCACTTTAATACAATGTTCTTTTATTTCAGCACATAAAGGAGATTTGTGTTCTGTTTTCAAATGTATGTTTCTTCAGACTTTAAAGTTAGACAACTTGAATATTTAAGCAAAGAAATTACATTTCAAAATTAAAAGAGGATCGAAATGAAAGATTGGTTGATGCAAACGTTTGTTTAAATTAACCAAACAAGGCAGGCTGATTCTTGTATGTAAATCTAACATAAAAAATGAAAAATAGGTTGAAATAAAATACTTGATAGATCCAAAACAAGATGGCTGAAAACACTGACGTCTTGATAGAACGAATCCAGATTTGAGTCAAAAACAAAGTAAAACTCGAATCAGAAACTAAAACTTTAACCGATGAACACATTGGAATCTTGAAGCAAACGAAAACTATTACAACTCAGAAAGGAGAAAAAAGTTAGTTTGATTTAAATATTTATCTAATTTCTTCCAGCTGACATGTGACAAACATTTTCCACAATAGAAATAATTTTTGCTTCTGTTTTGCACAACAGCATTTTACAAATTAGGCTTTTGTACAATTTAAATCATGTTTTGCACAGTTTAAGTCTTTTTTTGCTCATTTTAAGCAATTTTTGCACAGTTTAAATTGTGTTTTGCACATTTTATGGATGTTGCACCATAATCACTTTTGCAGTTTTCTATATTGCGTAATTATCAAATTCATGTTGTCGTGATTTATCTCATTTCCATTTTTCCCTTCGAAAACTTGTTTGACACTGGATACCCTTCCCTGTTTTCACGTGTATAAACATTTGTTTCACATTCCTCACAAAGAGAGATCTGGGAGAAACTAACCCTTCACTGTGCTCTGAGATGAAACTCCGCACATTTAGTTAGTCAGAGGCTCGTTATGGCGCTGTGGAGTGTTGCGTAACGCGCTGAAAGCCACACTGGCACAGATGAGTGTTCCTTTAACGCGCCGGGTATTAACACAGGG